AAACTCGTAGATAAAATGCAAAATTTAGTGATTTGGTTTCGTGTAAATATGAGTTTTCGGCAGAACGGAGGGCGAAATTTGTAATTTTTGGCTTTCAAATGCAAAGTTTGAGTGGAAAAAAAAGCAAAAGTTTAGACGAATGCAAAAAATTAAATTTTTGGCCGGAGGAAAAAGCACAAAATGGATTTTTTTAAAGCGAAGAATGAGGGAAAAAATACAATAAAAATACAAAAAAAAGCAAAAATTATATTTAAAAAATTGATAAAATTCTAATTGAATTGATACAAAAATGTTAAAAATTACACAAAAAACTGCAAAACTTTTTGTAATTTTTTTTGCAAATAATTTTCTTTAAAAATCTGCCCTTTAATAAAAACCACTTAAATAATACATTTTTTATGAAGTTAAAATAGAAAATACAATTAACTAATCAAATTATACTTGATCTTATTACTTGCAATTAAATAAAATTTAATTAAGATGATTAAATATTGCATTTTATAAAAAAGTAAAAGGTTGAAATTTCTTACAATCACGTTCTAATCAATTATTTTTATGGAAATTGTAAATGAAATTTTGCAGTTTATTGATTTGTCGTTTTATTTAAAAAATTCTATTTAATAAAAATTAATTATTTCAATTTGTTTTTTTTTCTGAGTTTTTGTGAAAAAATTGATTGTTAAGAAATTTTTTGGAACCAAATTGATATTTTTCGGAGAATTTTGGGAGTAAAATTGCATTTTTAGTAAATGTTATAAAGGTAAAATTGCATTTTTAGTAAATTTTATAAAGGTAAAATTGCATTTTTAGTAAATTTTATAAAGGTAAAATTGCATTTTTAGTAAATTTTATAAAGGTAAAATTGCATTTTTAGTAAATGTTATAAAGGTAAAATTGCATTTTTAGTAAATTTTATAAAGGTAAAATTGCATTTTTAGTAAATGTTATAAAGGTAAAATTGCATTTTTAGTAAATTTTATAAAGGTAAAATTGCATTTTTAGTAAATGTTATAAAGGTAAAATTGCATTTTTAGTAAATTTTATAAAGGTAAAATTGCATTTTTAGTAAATGTTATAAAGGTAAAATTGCATTTTTAGTAAATTTTATAAAGGTAAAATTGCATTTTTAGTAAATGTTATAAAGGTAAAATTGCATTTTTAGTAAATTTTATAAAGGTAAAATTGCATTTTTAGTAAATGTTATAAAGGTAAAATTGCATTTTTAGTAAATTTTATAAAGGTAAAATTGCATTTTTAGTAAATGTTATAAAGGTAAAATTGCATTTTTAGTAAATTTTATAAAGGTAAAATTGCATTTTTAGTAAATGTTATAAAGGTAAAATTGCATTTTTAGTAAATTTTATAAAGGTAAAATTGCATTTTTAGTAAATGTTATAAAGGTAAAATTAATTTTTTTTGCGTTTTTTGAAGGAAAATTAAAGTTTTGTAAGCAAATTTTTAATTTGTTTGAAATAAAATTGATTTTTTCGAAATATTTCGGGAACAAAATTGCATTTTAAAAAATTTCCGAGAGAAAAATTAATTTTTTTGCGTTTTTTGGAAGTAAAATTTATTTTTTCAGTTTTTTGAAAGCAAAAGTTTTTAATATTTTGGAACCAAATCGTGTTTTTTAAAGTTATTTTAGAATTGACTTTTTTAATCGCTCGATTATAACAAATCCAAACAACAGGTTGACAAAATAGTTATTTTATTAAAAAAACAAAAAAAAAAGAAAATTTCAAACGAACAGAAATAATTTAAAATATTGATTTTTCTTTTGTTTATTTCCCTTACTTGCCCCATAATTACGAAAGAAAACAATAGTTAATAAACAAATATGAAAAAAAAAGTAATAATAACAAAGTTTCTATTGATATAATTAGATTTAGTTTTTATGATGGAGAAAAGTCAGACAAACTGACAGACGAAAATAAAATTAAAATTTGTATTTTTTTATTTTTATTTGTTCGTTATTGAAGTCAGTCTGTAAGGATGTCTGTATGTCTTTATGAGGATCGAACCCACGTCTATTTTTTTATAAACTTTTTAAAAATGAATACAAAATAACCTCCAGATAATGGACACTTAATAGAGAGAATACTTGTTGCATCTGTGTCGAACCCGTGACTTTCGGGTTCTGTCGATGATGCTGCATGCGTTCTGTCTATTCACACAATAACGTGTATAACAGTATATAAATCAAGAAAATAATAATGTATGATATTGAATGTGGTCCGAACCCACAACATTCTTAAATATAGACGTAAATCGTAACATGTGGATACATTACTAAAAAATAAAAACCAAGAACACGATAGGAATAAGGTATTTGATATTGAACGGGATACGAACCCACAACACAGCCACAGTATATTTAATAACTTATACTAAACTTAATATTTAAACATATTTACACATTTAAGAGTAATCAAAAGCGTGTGAGGCATCTTTGACCGAACCCACGCCTTTATTAATATAAGAGTATGCGAGACTTAATATATAAAATAAAACAACAAGAAAAATAATTCGATATCGAGTGGGGTCCGAACCCGCGACCAAGCGTAAACAGAAATTATTTAAGGGTATTAGGTTTGTCAGGGAGAAAAACTCTAAGGCGTGGGTTCGGACCCCATTGAAATCAATGAGTTTTTCTAAATTAAGTGGTTTTATGAATATAAACAAACGTTAAACTTCTACCTGATACATTAAAGTAGGTGGTGGGTTCGAACCTACTTAGTAACACACATTCGTTCGTTATATTCTCGAGTTTTAATGGAAAGAATATATTGGAAACAGATTGGTCTGAATTCACAAACTAATATACATTTAATATGGGCCCTTTTTAGTTGTGGGTTCGAATCCCATTCAGTATTAAACAGCTTCGTTTCATTATATTCTTAGTTTATACACTAATATTTAATGGAATATAATGGAAAAAAATGAATATCGAGTAAAGAACCAACTCAATTTGTTATATAAGTTAAATATACCTGGTTGTGGGTTCGCGCCTTACTTAACACTCAATATATTTCTTATATTCTTGGTTTATATATTCAGTTTTAATGAAATATAATGAAAAAAAAATGTATTTTCAAATTTGTGCGGTCTGAATCTATACCAATATATTATTAATTAAGTATATGTTGTCGTGGGTTCGGACCCCGCTCGGTATCGATATATTTTTATTTTACATACTGAGTTTTGAGATATAATGGAAAGCATGCATAGTATACTGAGTCGGGTCCGAACCCATGACATAATAATCTTAATATGTTACAGTAAAGGCTCTAGTTGACTAAATTGTGTATATTTATCGTGTCCACAATAAAAAAATTGACAAATGATGTAATTTTAAGGGTTTTCGGCACACGCAGAGGATGCTTTTTTTAAATATTTATAAGGAATTTCGATCGAAAATAGCTTAATTAATAACCTTTAAATCAGCACATAAAATGGCTTAGTATTAATGAAATAAACGTCTAAGATACAATCTCTGGTTCGGACCTCACTTCGAAACGTCTGGAATGCCTCATTATAGAATAATGAGGCATCCTTAACGTTTGAACATCGTAATGAGGTATCCTTATTGTAAATGAGGTCCGAACCAACGACTTTTAATAAAAAATTCGAATTTTTCGAAGTTCCAGCATAAAAAAAATTAGGTTACACGTAAAACAGTTCTAAAGACCTGTGCAATATTCGACGATTTTCGCGAATTTTTACTGAAAAATCCCCAAAACTTTTACGAATTTTTACTGAAAATTCCCCAAAACTTTTACGATTATTTGGGGATTTTACAGTAAAAATGCAAAATCTTGATTTTTTTGGGGACTTTTATCGTGCAAAACACAATTTAATACCGTTAGGAGAAGGGAAATAAACAGGATGTTAGTAATCGGTCGATCGGGTTTCTGTCATTTGATCGCGTAAATTAACGCTATAAAATGCCAAAAATTGATCAAAATTCGATCAAAATTCCCTATAAAATGAGCCATTTTGATCGTTATTGCAATTATCTCACTCGTAAACGACTTTAAATTAATCATAAAGTTAATTAAAAATATTAATCTGTACGATAATATATTCAAGCGCGGATGTAATTTGATGAAAGTGGCAAAGATTTTACGATTATAAACGTGTTACAAGGTGCTACAAGTATATACTTTAACACGTAACTCGATTTCGAGGGATTATAAACAGGAAAAAAAGGTTAAAATTCCTCATCAGTTAACGCAAAAATCCATGTTTTTAGCAGCATAAACGTATGATGAGGGCGTTACACGGATATAATTTATCACATATTTTACAACGTTACAGGCATAAAATTATATTTATAGTGTGTTACAGGTGAAAGGACATAATTGTGTTAACGTATAACGCAATTTCGAGGGGTTATAAGTAGAAAAAAACATATAAAAACCCGGATAAGTTAGAGCAAAAATCAAGGTTCCCAATATCATTAACATACGGCGAGGACGTTAAGCTGATCTTATTTGGTAAAAATGGTAACGATTTTACGCTTGTACAAGCGTAAAATTACGTTAAAAATGTGCTACAAGTACAGAAAGACAATTATGCTAATACAAAATGCAATTACAAGGGGTTTAAAACAGGAAAAAGAAGTATAAAAACCCGCATAAGTTAGAGCAAAATCGAGGTTTCTAACAGTATAAACATATGGGGGAGGACGTTACGCCGGTGTGATTTATCGCATATTTTATAACGTTACGAACATAAAACTACTTTTATAGTTTGCTGTAAGAGAAAGAGCGTAACACAAAATGCAATTTCCGGGGGTTAAAACCGGAAAGAATCTACAAAACAGGAAGACGGTAACGCAAGAAAAAAAATCAAGGTGTAAGCACTTAAATGGCATGAACATATGGAAAAGGGTGTTACGTATCGTTACGCACACCATACCCTGTTAATTACCATAAGATATACAGGTAAATTACCGAGATAATTTAATTATTTTAGAGAATTTAGTATAGGGTTCTTACCTTTAACACACGTATTTTCCTGCAGGAATTGTGATCTTAGATTTCTTAAATTTCTTATTATATTGATCTCTTGTGGTGCTTCAATGGCTGAGAAGATCGATGCACCGATCACCAGAAACAATATATAAAATGCAGACAATATAAACAAACGTACGTTACTCTTACTCATACCCATTTTTTTTTTTTCCGGAGGATATGTTAAATTAAGTTCGAGTTTCTAGTATTGTGGTGAGGTTTCCTGGGAAATTATACTGTTTTAAATTAAATTTTAAACACTGATTACACGAGAAAAAACATTGTTCTGTAAATCTCCTGATGGTTAACAATAGGAGTCTTCAGGTTTGTAAACGTGAACAGCTGAAACGTTCGTCTTCCTTCCGTTCGTTTCCATCTGCTTTGACAGACCCACGCTCGCACTCTTCCTCTATACATTTGTTGATTAGTCGTTCGACGCATACAAGCGCTACAATTCCATCTGGTGTTCGGAAATTGAACTAAGGTCGAGTTTTTGGGTGTTATTTCGTATGCGGTAGTTTGGTTTTTTTTCTGTTGGTTTTTGCAATGATTTTAAACGTTCTTAAGGGGTTTAGACGTAATTTAAGGAGCGATTTTTGTAGAAAATGGATCCAAAGTACAAAATCTTGCAATTGGGGGTCCGATTTATACTACAGAAGCGGAATAATGTAACAGAATTCCGAGTAGTAAACGTGTACTGTACGTTAAGCTAGAATGGCTCGTCCTTAGGGCCGTGATCCTAAAATATAACATAAAAGATCCATCTTTAGGGCTAAATAGAGACATGTTGTGGCCCTAAACTGTATGCTAACATAGAAGGTCACATCCATAAAGCTGGATGCATGTTCATCGTTTTACATTATTGGATGTGCACGGTGGTGCATTATCCTATGAGCAAAAAGGGCAATTGCATGGGGCCCCAAACCAATCTCAAAGAAAGTATTTCTTTCAAAAAAGTCCGAAGTCAGCACTGTATATACATGGGGCCTCCCTAATTCAAATTTGCCTGGGCTCCATGGAGCTATAACGCGCCACTGGGTGTGCAGAAATCAATATCAAAGTGAAAGATCGTAACAAAAGAACATCTGTTTACAGTAGCGTAACTAGAACTGATATTAGTGGGGGGATCCGAAATTAGAACGTGAAAACCCACATTTATACCTGTACGGTGGAACATTTTCACATAAGCTAAGCAAGCTGTAGCTTAGGCCTTTATATATATATATATATATATACACGTATCATTATTTGATGGAGGGGAGGGCATGTTATATTATTGTATATATTATAGACTATAGCTATATTGCGTAATAAAGAAATAGTCCAAGATTTAAGCTTAAAAAATTTATATTCTATCTACTAAAATAAAACAAGATTTAATACGAAGTATTGTTTTAATTAATATCGAACGAGAACCGAACCCACGACTCATAAAAGTCGTGGGTTCGGTTCCCATTTAATATTAATAATTAATGAATGTTTAATGCATTAAAATAGATTTTTTTAAATTCATAAATAGGTCAATCTATTATCTGTTTCGAGTAGAAAGTAATCGTGAAACAATACAATTAATATAGATGAAACGCAAATGTTCGTGTAGAAGACAGTAAATGATATTTAGTGATTGATCGTGGGTAATTTTCATTTGTATATTTTTTTATTATCGTATATTTTCATGATATATAAAGATGTGTCGACATATTTTTTAATCAAAATGTCCTGCACTCTTTATATTTAATGCAAAAATATTGCATAAAAAATTTGATCATATTGAGCGAATTCATATTGTACTGTACGTCGCAATGCCGGGCTGCAATTTTTTATCATGTATTTCATTTAAAATATATGCTCTCCACCTCATATTAATAGTGGCTTGCCCCTGTACAACATACTTTTCCTTTAACATTAGAATAGGCCCACCAATGGCCGAGCGGTTTCGTTCCCCGAGTACTGGAAGTTCGGTCGTGGGTTCGTGAAGTTTTTCGGGTTTTTTCTACGTCTGTAACGCCTGAATGGGGGTCAGTTACCCTTAAAAAGAGCTTTATATAATATAAATAGTTAATCGGGGCATCCTGCCCCTAAGGTTTCCATATATAGTCTCGTCTTTTATGTATCTAACTCCGGCATTTTTTTCTGTGTAAAAAAATCATACGATTTGTCCTCAATATTCCCATAACAGAAGTTTAGATTGGATAAGGCAAAGTAACACATGGACGATTTGCCAAAAAGGAATGCCTCTCGAGATGATTTCCTATGGGAAAACTGGTATGTTGCTATGAAATCCTGGTTCGAGCCAGGTCAGAAATTTCGGATGTTTTTTAGAATAGGTTCCGGACATCCGATCTGTTCCACAACAAGCCACCATTATTGTTGACCTGATAACTGTGAGAAAATTGCCTATCTGTTCTACAATAATCCTTTTATCCATGACTATCGTATGTTTGACAAATCTGTAGCGAACGCCGCCCTTCACATCTGTACCCTTAACGGTTGTAAAATACAAGCAATTATCCCTGGGTGTATGAGTCATCACTTCCTGGAATAAATTCGAACTTACCCCACAAGACCGTCGAAAACTAGTTGTCTTTGTTAGCCGCGTCGTCGAGACATGTGCTGTACCAAGTACGCGAGAAGGAGAATAAAAGTTTAGTTTTTGTTACGATCTCGTCTCTTCGTTTCTTTCACACACAGCGACGAAAGATAAAAGCAACCACAACGCAAAACCACAAATCCATGGAGACTGGACGTACGAACGACCAAGATGGCGACTTACAAGTCTGGAAACCCGGGATACAATCCGAACGGGTGGAAAACCCCAGGAATTTTTTGGAGTGGTATGTCCGGATATATCTGACTTCGTTCCTCACTACCAGGCTGTTCCATCGTAAATCTGGCCCCCAAAGTGGACGGACGGTGGTGAGGAATGGGATCCAATAAGTCCAGAACTGACAGGAAGTTGCTCTTCCGGATTTGATCCAGGATCCTCCGGAGCGGGTTGCTGACGCTTTAGCCATTTCAACTGTTTTTTTCAACTTTTTCCGCTCTGTGGCACTAAGAAAGCCTCTTTTAGCAAGCCCATTATGGGTTCGGCGAGGCCCACAATGGGGCAGGCGGGTGCGAGAGACGGGGACCGACATATCCGGAAGAACCACCCCCGAAAAATTCCCTGGACCCATCCGTATTCGATCCCGGGTTCCCCAGCGCTAGCTATTTCGGCTATCCTGCCGTCGATTCGGATCATTGCGTTTTTTTTTTTTTTTTTGCCGTATATAAATATGATGTTAGCGAATTACACGTCATTGTCAAAATTAGCAATTGTTTATATTATTTTTTTTTCTATTTCGAAGAAGTTTATTTAAACTGAAAGTAAATAAAGACCGACACCATCATACGTAAAAGAATATTTCTACTGGCAACACTCTATTCTTCTACTCTGCCACCCTAGCGGAATTTTTTTTAAAAAAAGGTATAATTTTTAGAATAATTTTCACAGAAAGAAAATATCAAATAAAATTATAACTTTTGAATTATTTTATTTTATACGATATTTAAACGATAGATTTTTACGTGATAACTTTATTACACGTAATTTTTAAATTAGGGAAATTTCTTGTCGGTTAGGGAATTTTTGTCAGTTTTCGTCGGCGAGGGATGCATTCGTCGTTCGCTCCTCACGTTCAGAAGTTTGTGGAAGAAATCATCAGAAATGGAAAGATCGGAATATCTGCAGGGAATATTGCGGTTATACATCCGAAATCTGGGTAAGAAAGTATAAAACTAAACAATAAATTCGATTATTAGACACGAAATGTCAAAATTAGTTCCATCTTACGGCAGAATTTACCCTTGCAATGTTCAGCCACACAAGAATATGCGGGGAAATTACCCTATTTAACACAATCTCGGTTATCCGGCACTTCTCTAGTCTCACGCTCTCGATAATCAGACGCCCTCTGGTGTTATCGGCACATTTCTGAGTCGTAGACGAGGTTCGAACTCCGGCACCGGTCAAATTTGAACGCCTCGCTAAACGCAGTGTGCCATCGAGCCCGAGGCTTCGACGTCGCATCCTCGAGCCTGGAAATGATATTAAACATTGCTAGAATCGTCGTCTTGGACGGCTCGACAAAGGTACAGTATCTTATGGCACAGTACCGTATATGTATAAAAATGAGTACACCGAAATTTCCCATCGAAAACTGTTTTTCCCACTAAATTTTCCACCACGGTTTCAATCTCCCAATAAATTTAATGGAATTTGTCGACTTGGAGGCGGTAATGTACTTGGATGTTTGGATTGATGGCTCAATAGTCACCGATCCAAACATCCGAGTCAATAGTGAGTTTGCGACAAACATCCGTGTCAATAGCGAGTTTGCAACAAACATCTGCGTCAATAGCGAGGTTGCAGCAGAAGTTTTCGTCTCTAAAACGTGATGAACATCAAATGTCAAGCGCTGCTATCTTGTAAGTGGCGCTTGACATTCGACATTCACGTTTTAGAGACGAAACCCTTGGCCACAACCTCGCTATTGTCGGCTCGTTTGCACGTCGTCTAATTATTTTTGATAATCCGACGACGTTCCGTTCCCATATACGTAGGATTGCCAACATCGTACCGTATTACAATTTGAGTTTTCTAAACGTTAAAGCGACTAAATCGAGCTTATTTATCCAAAAATATGAAGAAAACTTACTTATAGTAAGCCCGTTTTCCTTATATTTTTGAATTTTTTATACCTGTACATGAATAATTGGTAGAACTTAGTTGTATAATAATTTTACATATCTTACAACATTAAATGTCTAAATTTTTATATTAGGCAATGGGACAAAATTATTATATTGATGTTTATGTCACTTGATTATTAATTTCTTAATCCAAAGTTCGTATCGATTAATAACTGTTTGTGAAGTTCCTTTTCGGTTCATTTTCTCTATACTCGTCCGAGGCAACGAGAGGGGAGTTGGGATTTTTCCCGATTCTAGAGAAAACTTAGGAGCTCGTAGTGGTTTCTATCAAATTAATGTTACTACTTTGAAGTTATTGTTCCGAGAAAAACATTTGAATTTGATTTATAATTAAAGAGCTTTAAATTGTTTAGTGAAATCACATGAAAGTTCTAATTAAAATAGACATTTTACAAGGATAAATAGATATTTTTATTGACCAAACAGTCAAAGCTTGATTTTCTATTAGTCAAAACGTCTACAAGCTGGATTATATCTGGGCTATAACTAAGTTAAATATAAATTATAAACTTAATTATATTTAAATGTTTAAGTGGTTAGGCCTTTAGATTAATAATTAAAAATGAATTTAAAAATTTCCTGAAAAGAAAAATCAACTCTCCTATTGAATAGGAGAGTAACCGAATTCAGTCTGAATGCCTTTTCTGATTAGTCGGGTCTTTTTTACGAGCCTTTTTTCCGGTGAAACCTCTGGCCGGCCCTGTTTTGCATATAAATACCACAGTTAAATCTGTTTACACAAATCGGTTGTTTTATGGTAATGCCAGCAATATCCAAACAAACTTATTATATAAAATGTTGGTTAAAAATAGGTAAAAATATCTAATTTTACCAATGTTAACAATGTCACAATCTCTAGATAGAAGGGTTGCTCATTTCTAACCTTCTCTGTCTAATGTAGCATCTATTTTGAGTCTATCTGATCATATTCTCAGACCATTCTCTTCTCAATTGGATTTTATTTGGTTAGTACAGAGAAGAGGAGTTTTGTCTTCTCTTCCCTGTAACGATAATTTTTATGACTCTCTCAAAGAGCCTTTCGGCACATACATCTGATAAAACATCTCTTCCTTTTTCAATCTTGAATGTTTCTACCATATAAAACAACATATAAACTATTCTCTTAAAATTATTTTGAGCAGTTCTGACAAAAGTCAAGTATCCATAATAATTTCAATAGAATAATTTATATTATGCTGGAGTCGGACAGTACAGTATTGTCGTCCGACTCTTCTGTCTTGGACGTAGAGGATTTGATCCCGGGATCTCGAAAATCGGGATATCGGGATCCCGGGATCCCGACCACTTTTCAGTCCCAAAATTTTCGGGATTAAGTTTTCCTAATCCCGAGATTTTCGGGATTGACATCATTTTAAAAAAAGTTGCAAAATAGACTGCATGAAGCGAAACGTTCAGTGCCAGTGCTTTTAACAGAATTGCTTGCCTATCATTTTAATATAAAATACAAGAAATTTTATTCCAAGCAAGCAGCAGAAATTAACCTAGCGGGCTTGCGATGCTTGCTTGTAATAAAACTTCTTGTATTTTCAACTAAAATGATAGGCAAGCAGTTCTCACTGGGTTACTTGGTAATATACTTCATTTTTGTACTTTTGAATTTTCGCGGGCGCCAATCGATTTTCTGGTGCAGTCGAGAGCACTACTCAGTGCGTTTTACCTGTCAATGTGTCAGCCATCTTGTTTTGCCAGTGTAGTTAATATAGACCCGACGCCTCTCGCTTAGGGGGGTCGACCTTAGGTGAAAAGGTTACGACCCTCGCCTTGCCCGCGATCTGTCAGGATGATGCGAGAAAGTCTTTTTACGTTTCGGGGTAGTGGTTTGCTGGACGCTGAGAGACTCACACAGAGACCGAATTTACAAAATTAACGCGTTTATTTTTAGAAAGACATGCTTACAATGATCGAAACAATCGGGATTGTAGCCTTTACTCCTACAATCCCGATCCGTGTCGACCGGACTGTTTTCTTCCATCCTCCCCGTGTCCTCGAAGCTTATAAGTATTTACTAACGATTCCTCCAACTTCCATCAAACCTAAACGCGTTTTCTCAGCAGCTGCATATATGTGCAACAAATTGAGAAGCAGACTTGGTGATGAGACACTGGATGCGTTGTTATTTCTCAGATCATATTTTCGCAATTCAAATTAGAATGTTCCTATTAGATTAGTTTTCTTTATATTTAAGAAAAATGTGACTGATTAATATTATTTTTAAATACTTTTTGCTAAGAAACTTACTTTACTACCTACTTACTAGGTTGTTATATGAAAGTAGTCTATTTAGTCGATGTTAAGAGAGATTTTTGTTAATTTTCAAGGTTTATTTGAATAGTTTGTTACATAAAGGTTTTTTCAATTTATGTGAGTTTAAAGAGATGTCAGTGATGCTTAAAAAAGAATAAATTTAACATGAAACAGTGATTTTAAGTCTAGTTAGTCTGACTCTAAGTCTGATTAGTTAGAGTGATTAAATTAACTAGGTGTATACCGTAAAATACGTTGATTTTTGTCTAAATTTTGATTTTCGATTTCTGTAAGATTTTCTTATTTTTTATTAACCCTCAATACCGAAATAATCCCGGGATCGAGTAAGTATAATCCCGAAATCCCGGGATTAGAAATAAGGACCGGGATCGAATTCCCTACTTGGACGGCAATACTGTACTTGTTTGTTAGTTTCTAATATGAAGTGTTACGTAGAGATTTGTCTTAGCCACAACAGTTTAAAATTTTCTTTAATTCAATTAAAATAATAATTGTCTCGTTTCTCTTAAATGACTTTCCGGTAATCTAGTATTGCAGTTTAGCATAGGCAGTTAGTAATGAAATGTTAACGATTCATAAAATTATCGGATCAATTATAGTCGTGATTAATAATCGAAAGAAATTGATATTAAAGGCACACTCCCTTAATGCCATATTTTCCTGATGATTTCAGTTTTAATTAATTAATGGCCCAGTTTAATGAGTCGTTAAATGTCTGCTTTGCTATTTGACTTGACGAGTGTTTTTATAACAAAAACATATTTAATTTTGCTGTAAAATATTAGCACGATAAGATACTTTTGATTAGGTTAAAGAAGGAAATTTTTGATGAAATCATTTCAGCTGGTTTGGTTCCACTAAGTACGTTTTATATCTACATGTAAATATATACACATAGATATTTGCATTATAATAGATACTTCAAGGAGGTAGATAATAAACTACATTAATGCCCATTAAAATCACGAACATAGACTCCAAATGGCATTTACTTTTTTATACGTTAAGGCTGTTTATTTTTATATCGGTGTCCCATAATCAATTAAAACATTTGATTAACATGTCACTTTTCTGTTATCGTTTAAAGAAATCTGAAGCCAGAACACACAGACAGAAAAATGTGTTTATGTGGAAGTTGAACTTGCATCTTTCAGTAACAGTTTTCTTTAACTCTCTTCATCCTGTGGGCACTAAGAGTGCTTTTTTAGCAGCCTGTTGTTGGTTTGGCCAGATTCAAAATCAGGTGACTGGGTAGGAGAGACAGGGTCGACAGGGTCGCCATGTCCGGAAAATTTCCAGGGGGTTTTTGACCCATTCATATTCAATCCCAGGTCCTCCAGAGTGGTAGGCTGCCATCTTAACTGCTTTGCTGTCCTGTTGTTGCCTGTAACACATTTAACATATAAGCAAGTGTAACTGGGGTGGCTTTTGAGCCTTTTTAGCATCAGAATAGCTTGGAAAAATCCAACAATTAATTAGTGATCTGTCTAATTTAATATAATTTTGACAAATTATATAAAATTTGGTTTTTAATTATCTACCAACTTCTTAATTGTTATAAATACAAATTGTTTTTGCAGATGTAGTAATTTTGAGAAGAAACCACTCTGCGATAGATTCAAGATAGTCATTCCTTACGGTGGACAATCTGTAACATGTAAATATTGTATTAGAGAATGTATATTATTCCATATATTTGGATACTTAAATAATCTAATTCTTTTGATAAACAGGGGAAATATTGTTTCACGCTCTTTACCCAGATTTACCTCCAGATTTCATATTTGATGACGGGAATTTTAAACCAGATATAAACGATATCGAGGTTGGATATTGTGCTTGATATTGTTTTCAAAAGAAAATGCATATTAACAAATTCATTTTTTAATTATTTAATTAATGCTAAATTTTTTAGTCTCTGTGTAATTGGAATCCTGACGATCCCACGTCACTCATCCAAGTCATACAGCAATTGCTGGAGAAATATCGATGGCAAGAGGTTATGCTGTTGGAAGATTACTCGAGATTACAGTTCGAATATTCTTCTCTCATTCACCAAGCTGGATTTTCGGATTCGGACGTAGAAGTGTTATTGAATCGTAAAGTAAGTGTTCTAAAATCTGTGTTATTTTAGTCTTTTATTAGTTTTAAATATAATTATTTATATGCAAAAATTTTCAATTTCAGAACAGAAATGGTCCAGTTAACTTTCTAATTAGATTGCCAATTGATTTTTCAAAACTTCCACCTTTTCTCACAAAAGTAAGTGTGTTATTAATGTTAATTGAAGCCTGAATTTCTAACCTTAAGCCAAATGATGCCAGATTTTTCTATTTTCTGATTAAATTTTTTAAATAATTTAAAGTAGCGATAGGACGATGATTGTCTTATATAAATTCATGGCGCACAAATGATAGTGAAGCTTCAATTATTTGTTTCTTAGTGTTTCAGATACAAACTGATAAACTTTTTTCTCGTGCATTAAACTAAAGAACATTCAAATGTTACATTGTTACTTTCCTTCACAAACATTAAATGTACAGAGATAACTAATAAGTAAATAGACACCCTAAATGTCAACAAATGTATGCATTTGTTGACTTTTTGAATGTAAATGTTCAGTAAATGTAATTGTAAATGTCAGGTCTTTCCATATTATCCAGTGGGCTAATGGACAAAGCATCCACATGTTCGTGGAGGACGGAACTCATCACACCGCCAAAGGACCTGGATAATTGGTTGGCAATACAAGGCATCCACAAGCCTCCAAGGGCCAATCAGTTACTTGACATGAATCTCACTAAACATGTCTGGAACCCGCTGGATTGTGCAGTACAATGACATTCATAGAAACTTGCTTCCTGTGGAGAACATTTAGATAGTTGCATTCCAAGTGAGTCATATTCTACAGGCGAAGATAGTAGAACTCATAAATTCCATGCCTGAAGAGATAACTAGGTCTTTAATGTGACATTTGTATCACAAGAATACTGTGAAATAAAGGACAGTGTCTGAAAATAAGGATGTCTGTTTACTTACGAGTTGTCTCTGTAGTTTCAATGAGTTATATAGCATTATATACCATCTGAATTTTAGTTCATCTTGAATAATATATTAAAAAAACAGCTGAGTTCACTCAATATTTATATCTTTAGATATCTAGATCAGGTGTTTTTTTTGATTATTTTTAAAGTTATGAGATATGCTCCTTCAAACATATCAATATAAATGTCATAGCAAAATTATTCCATTATTAAAAATAAATTATGTTTATGTGATCAATTGTTATATTGTATGATACAATTGAATACTGATATTATTATTTTAACAGGTTATACCTATTATTAAGAGAGGGACAAAAATATATCTATGTGAACAACAGATATAAATTGACCATAAATATAAATGACTAATATTATTGATGAACTAAAGAAATATACAATAGCATTATTTATACACCTAATACTCTATTGTCAGCCAGCATGCAAAATCACAAAACTGATATTGCCAATTCAGCAAGCATAAAACTACCCACTACACTTCTTCCTCAATAAATTAGCCTATTTCTTATCCTAATTATCCTATCGATAAATTATTATAAATCCACGATAATACATCAATGTTACCTACACATTCTCTACATATTAGATATATAATAGAGAAAATTATATAATGGTTATCCAGATATTTTTATAAACAAAAACAGTAAAAAACATTATAATTTTGTTTTTTTATTTAGGACAATCCGGGCGACGATTCTGCCGTTCTCTTGGTAACTTTCCAGACACCCGACGGAAGTCGAATTACTCCGCAATTATACTTATCACCAAGAGTCGAACAGTAAGTATTAAAAAGAATATTAAAAATGTCATTTATCGATTATTTTGTTACACATACGATTCTTTTTAAATAGAGCTCTCGGTGGTAATGCAGCATTACGCATTCCTAGCTTTTCCAGTGCTGGATGTTTAATGGATTACGTGCCTTTAGTTCGTCAGTTATTAAGTAACAAAGTAATTTAATTTTCAAATATTTTAAAGAATTTTATTTTGCAAACTTGTTTTATTGAAATTTTATATTATATAGATAGAACAAATTGTAGTGGGTTTTGAAAAACGTAAGGAGTATGTGGCTGCTTTTTTAAGTCATTATGGAAGGTAAATAATTTAAAAATTTTTATTAAAATATAAAATTTAAGGCACACTTTATTCACATTTCCAATTTAAAATTGAGTAAATCTTAAATTCAATCCTTACTCCTGAAATTTGAAATATTCTTCAATGCTCTTCAGAAGTCTGTACACAATGAAAATTACATATTTTCTCTTAATTTATACTTTAAATACGTAATTAATGTTTTACTCTTTAATGAAATCTTAAATCACATCTATGCTTAACTATCATTTAGTTTTTTCTTGAAAATGAATCTATCTACAGTAGAGCCTCGATTATCTGACCCCCGATTAACCGACCGTCCTAGTCGGCAAATTTCAAATGTCCGCTAGTGATGTGGTGCTACAATATTTGGCTATGTCTTGGCTACTTTAATATTATTTTTACGTGTTTTAGCTGGCAACACTCATTCGACCATGAAAGGGAGCCAGTATTTAAAGGAGGCTTAATTTTCTAATTTTTAACGATACAATAGCGACGATTATTATTTTAAAAAATTTTTGTTAGGCTTAACATCGATGAAAATTCAACGCTAAGTAGGTTAATAGCGATATACTAATATACTAATTACATGGGATATAATAATATACTACACTAATAATGGATTTTTTCATACTTTTCGGTTATCCGACCAACCCCAGTCCCCAATTGAGTCGGATAATTGAGGCTCTACTGTAATCCCAACACTATCTTCATTATTCTGTTTAAAGATTCACTTTATTAAGTCGTTATTTCATTTTTTTCAATAAATAGCACGAATATCTTTCAGTGGCATTGCTTCTTTCAGGCCACCTTGAGGATATGAAGTTGTCCTGCATGTTTATGTTTATAGTTATAATAATAAATAAAAATAGTAAAATTTTTAGGCCAGCACTATTCCACATTTAATAAATGTTAGTGAAAATAAATATCTTTTTAGGCTTTTACGGTATATATACTGACAAGTGGAAAAAAGCTGATTTGCTTCATGCACAAAGAAAAATGCACTTGCTACGTAAATGCCATCTGTTGTGTCAAAGTTGTCTTATCCTCACTGTGAAAAAATCTCATTTTACACTCATGTGTTTCATTTTTTTCCCCTCTATTTTTATTGTGTTTGGATATACCAGTATATATAACCTCTACCTATTAACTATGGCGTCCAAGAAGCATGTGGAAGGTATTTGCTTAATACATAGCTGAAGCAAAATGTAAGTATTGATGATTGAAGTAAAAAAAAAGGAACTTATTGTATAGTACATGTGCAGAGGATCTGGCGGCCATGTTTAAGATGCCAAAGTTGATGGTGTATGATGATGATGATGATGTAATTTTCATTTTATAATATTATACAGATCTGAAATGAATTAAATTCAAAGTACAAAGCACCACTGTATAGAAGCTGAAATAACTCAAATGCAGTAGCATTTGAGCATCCACAAGGCACATAAGTGATATACAGTGGGTAATCGGTTAACGAACATAATCCGTTCCAAGACTTTGTTTGCTATCCAAATTGTTCATTAACTGATTATTGATTTACTATAGGTTTTTATGGGAATTTGATTAATTTTGTTCTGGAGACTCCAGAAAATAAATAAAAATTAAAAGATTTTTAATAGTTTATCAGTACAGGTAGGTATCCCTCATACAACACAATTTTCAATTATCTCAAATTTGCCCACGGATTTTAGGATATTGAAATTTTCAAATTGTTTTATACTTTTCCTAAGGTACATCAACCTATTAACCTCAACCTGGTTTGGATGCTATTCTATGACCGTTGTTCTGACATCCTCCCACTTCAAAAGATCTTTAATAGCAGATATTGGCATTAATCTTCTTTCTCAGAAGAAAACATATCTTGGCAAGTTTCTTGGTGTTCTACATTCAATTGTTCTTAGTGTTATTCTGTCGTCAGATCCATTTCAGGTCCCATTATGAGCTCTTCGATGTTCTTTATTTCTCAGATGTGATTTTTTATACTCCTTAAGTTGCTTGAGTCTTCTTGATTATACTGTATCTTTCTTAGATAAGATTGAACTGCCAACCTACTGTAGACCTGTTCAAGCCATACTGTCCAGCAACATCAGACATCTGCCCACTCTCGACTTTTGCTGTTATACTCCCACCTTTCGAAAATAAAAACCGATGCAAAACTTAACGAGTGCCCACCTGACAGTTTTGCGAATACTATAAAAAAATAGTTTCTATCAGGAAAATAAAAGGCTGGAATTACAAGGGAAAGCTTCAAAGTTTGGGGAAATACTATTCGATCAGTATATATTGGGTTGAGCGTTGATGTTGACGTTTCCCGCGCTCCTGCCTGAAGACAAGGGAAGACCAATTGGTATTCATTATTTTATGTCACTTCTTTTTGTGTTTGTTCTGTGGTATTTGTTGTCTGAACATAAAAATCTTTCACGAAAGTGTTTGTTATCCGATTTGTTCATAGTCCGAACTGTTCGTTAACCGATCACCCACTGTACTACTTAAGCTAGTTTAGCTTTATAAACTAACTATATTGTATAATTAATAAAGTATATTTGGTGCCTATTATTATGACAATTATTAATATAATTTAAAGTATTGAAAAGTATTACAAGCATTTATATTTTCCATAATACTTATCAATTTATTATTATAGGAGTATTGTCGAATATGAGGCAGAATCTTTTTCCAAGTTATCTTTAATGTTTGAATGGAATGACTTTTATTTTCTGTTACACAGTAAGAAATTTATCTTTAAATCATGAAATATACACAAAGATTCAAAATTTATTGATATCTAAAAGTACTTTTATTTCTTAATTTACATTTTTCAGTTAATATACCTTTATACTTTCCACAAGACAAGCCATCATTTATGTTTCAGTCCATCTACCATGCTAATATAGGAAGGCCGTACAGCGTCATCTGCAACGATTATCCATACAGTCCGAGATGGTCGGGAAACGAAATGGCCGAGCGAGCACAGTAATTTACAATTTATATTTTTAACATTCTTATTAAAATGAAACCCGAATTAATTTTGAAAAATATAATTTTTCAGATCGTTTTTACTCGACTACGTTCCAAAATTTCAAAGAAGTTCTATTGAAAACAAGTCGTAATTATTGCCAAAATATTTATATAAGGCCAGCAAACGTTTAAAATACTTCGGTAAGATTTATAAAAAGAAATTTATGTATTAATATTTATAAATTTGGTATGTTATATATTTATAAGATCATTTTAAAATCAGTCTTATGATAAAATTCAAAGTTAATTTCTGTAACATCCGAATCTAACTGCAGATTTTATTATTTGTAATATTTTTCTGTATCACCAGTTTTATAACATTGTTACATCAGAATGTAAATTGTTTTTTAAAACTAAGCTGTACAGTAATTAATTATAGCAGTTAATAAAAACTAAATACACGGTAATTAATTAATACCACACAAATTCTAGTGTTTAGATAATACATATTTCTGCTTTAATTCTATACACTAGGTAATTTTGATTCAAAAGATAAAATACGGTACTGATATTACTCACGGGGTGATGGAGAATATATAGAGAAGACAAAATCTTAGGGCTCCTTATATTATCAAGAATTACTTGATCATTGCTAATTTATCAAGTGAATTGTTAGCATTAAGCATCTCAGATGGTTTCAAGTTAAAGATTACAGAAAGTAAATTTAGTCATTCCGACTTGTTCTTGGTTATTTTATTGTGCAAAAATATTAATATAATACTAATACTATTATAATATAATATTAATATAAATTATAATACTAAATGATGGATATATAAGAATAGTCTTTAATATTTACACTATTTTCAAATGAAATGAGAAGTAAATTTTTACGGAATATAATGTAAAAAGATACAAGGTGTAGACAAAAACGTTGCATCGAGTTATATCTTTCTTGTCTATGTATTAGCTAAATACACGTGCACAAGACTATAGGTAATTGGTAGTGGGCTATTCGACGATATAGTTGCATTCCCGACACTCTTCTCATGGGGCCAAAACCCATTGGCTCCTACGAAAGTAGTGGAACAATTTAAATTACAAAGTTGTAGAGCATCTCAAAATTAGTGAAAAAAAAGAGTGGTGAAACTGAGGATTCTCTGTATGGCTTCCTGTACTAAAGCCCATGCACTTGTATTTGCTTAATACATAGCTGAAGCAAAATGTAACCTGATGTAATATTTTTATCTGCATCCTGTATACTTTAATGAAATAATTCTATTCTTAGAAATAATAATCTATTAACTAAAGATGTAGCAAGAGATGCAAGAATCAATTTATGAACTCTGTGGGTTAACTTTTGATTCCAAATCATAGAATAATGATCAGTTTTATCTCTTATGTGTAAAATTGATCTGTAGAGCTCATAGATAACTCTTACAGATGATAGGATCACTTACACAATGAAGAAAAGAGAACACTACCATGAGCAAATCATGAATTATAACTTCATATAACAGACGTGTTATAGCATGGAGAGACAGAATATTTAATATGTGTTATAAGTGTGGCGTAATAAACACTAGTAATGTGTTTTATTCTAAAGACACATGGCAAATTTTCCATCAAATTCCTTTATTAGTTGATACGGTACATTTTTTACTCGTTTCGGGCTTTGTCCCTCTTTAGTCAACTAAAATACAATATATATATTTAACTTATAACAGTAGAGAGTTTACATAAAATAATGAGTACATAAACGATATATAGACGTACCTTTTGGTTACACTTTGTATAATTTAAAAACGTAAAATCTGCTTTAATCTTTGTATAACTAGTATATATTATAAATAAATTAAAAGGTTAAAAGTTCTAAAATCTTCTCTTATAAGCATATTTCGATACTACAAACTGTAAAAAATTTTTAACTGTTTCCTCCCCCTCTTTACCTTCCACAAGAATGAATTGAGAAAAATGGGTTTCTAATAATCCTCACAAACAGAAAAACATGACTAATAAAATTGTAAGACTGTATGTATATATGTATTTTTATTATTACATATAAATAAACATAGTAAGAAAGTATA